CACTGCCACCCAGTCGGTTCCAGCTCACAGCAACCCTATAGGACAGGGTAGAACGGCATTTTTTTTTTTAAAGAACTGTTTTTTTTAAAAAAGTCTAACTTTATGGGAGCAAAAAGCCTCACCTTTCTCCCAGGGAACAGCTGGTGGATTCAAACTGCTGACCTTTTGGTTAGCAGCCCTGTGTGTAACTGCTGTGACCAGGGCTCCTCATGTGAGAGAGCGCGCGCGCGCGCGCACACACACACACACACACACACACACACACACACTCTTATCCACGGGTCCATTCTGACTCATAGGGACCATATTGGACCGAGTAGCGTTGCCCTGTAGGGTTCTCAATGCTGCTGCAGGTCTCTAGGGAAGCTGACTGCTACTGCTTTCTCTGGGTTTCACCACGACCCTCACAGTGCTGTAATCACCGTGCCACCAGGGCTCCTTAATGTGTGTTCTATGCCAGCCACCATACTTAAATGCTTTCCATACCATCCCACTCCAGGCTCACAGCGGCAGCTCTGGAGTGGCCGCATCGCATCTCATTGTACAGGGAGGGCCCTGAGAAGTGGGGTCCTTGCCCCCCAGGTGGGGGTGGAGGAGGGAGGGAAGCTGCTTGTGGGGCCTGACAGGACGCATGGGGATGACGTCCATGCTTTGCAACCGCTCCAGGGCCCTGGCTTTTGTAAGTGCACCATCTTTCCTTAAGCTTTCCCCAAGGTGGAACAGATGGAAAGGGAAAAACAAGCCGACCTGAACTTGGTTTCTCTCACTGCTATCTAGCAATTATGGGAGTGGAAAGCTTCGTCTTTCTCCTGACGAGCGGCAGATGGTTTTAAACTTCTGGCTTCCTGGTTAGTGGGTAGCCCTCTATATCAACAAGGCTCCCTCAACCTGGGTTTAAAACCAAAACCAAACAGTGACCCTCTACGGCAGGGTAGAACTGCCCCTGTGGGTTTCCGAGGCTGTAACTCTTTGCAGGATTAGGCAGTCTTATCTTTCTCCCGCAGAACAGCTGGTGGTTTTGAACCGCTGGCCTGTGGCTAGCAGCTCAATGGGGAACCCTAACCATTAGGCCTCCCAGGCTTCCTCTACCGTGGGTCAAGGGGCTGGAAGTTCTAGAAGGCACCTGGACTGCCCAGCTTTGCCTTCTCCTTCGCGTTCTTTCCTGTTGCGTTTTGGAAGTTCATGAACAAGCACACTCCCAGGATCCTGTTTCGTCCCCACCTCCTGGTCAGGTGCCTGGGGGAAGGCCAGGGCAGGCGAGGAAGGAGCCTTGGTGGTGGCATGGCTAAGCGCTGGACCCATAATCTAAAGGCCAAGGGGGTGGGGGGGACATACTATCTGGCCATCCACTCCCTGAAAGGCTGTGGCCCAGGAATCCTGGGCGGGCAGGGCCACTTCGTCCTACTGTTTCTTGTTGGCACCGGCTCCACTCCAGGCAAGGGAGCGGGTAGGGCCCTAGGACCTGGAGCACCACCACGTGGCCGGACTAAATAATACCAGGCTTGGTGAGCACTTCCTGTCAGGAGCTCACTCACCCAGAGCAAACCTGAACCCGGTGGGGCCCGGGAAGAAACAAAGGAAAGAGGGACTCAGTTCACCCCTTAATGAACAGGGACGGCGGGCCCATGAAGATCAGTCAGGGGTGCCCAGATGTAAATTAGACACCGTATTCAAGAAGCCCGTCCGAAACTGTATGGTGGTCGGGTGATCCTGACCCCTGTCACAGAGCCCTGGTGACCTGGTGGTGATTAGGCCGACTGACTGCGAAGTTCGCAGTTCGAAACTGCATACAGCTCTGCGGCAAAAAGATGAGTTTTTCTACTCCCATAAAGTTCTAGTCTCAGACACTCACAGGGGCAGTTCTAGCTGGCCCTGTAGGGTCACTGTGAGCCGGCATTCGATTGGACGGCAGTGAGGATTTGTTTCAGTTTACTTCCGAGAGATTGGGAAAGGGCTGCTGTTCGGAGGTGGCAACTTAAAAGGCCTGGGAATGGGAGTGACCCATAAGGGGCTTTCTGGGGGAAGGCCAGGGGAGGCGGCAGGGTTAAATTCCCCGACTTGGCTGCCCGCGAAGTCCACCGTCTTCCTCCTAGTGAGGGGAACAGAGTCCTGAGCTGGGCTGGGGTTGCTGCCTGAAGCGGGGATTCCCCAGGATAGCCCCTTACTGTTCTTTTTGCCCTCTTGGGAAGGTGGCTCCTGTAACTGGCTTGATTCTTTAAGGAATAAGGACATTTTGGGACTATTTGACATTAAAAAAAAAAAGGCTTTGGCCGGTCCAGTCTGTGGCCATCTGGTCCCTGCTAGGCACATGGGCACTGACCCCTTGGAGTCTAATTTAAGGGGAACCAAGGCAAAAGGAAATGCAGCACGTGTGCGCGTGTGCGTGCGTGTTCCAGGTCTGGGGCTTTGTCCGAGGCGCAGGGAAGTGAAACAAAAACACCACCGCTTTCTTGCCCTTCTGCCATGGACTTGTGCCCTCTCCCTCAGGGCACCGCGGGGCCACAGACCCTCCCACCAGGACGGCCTTTGAATGAATGGATTCGGTCATGGGGTTCGCCATCCCAAACTCACTACCAGCAGGAAAGCAAGAGGGGGTGGTGGTGGTGGTGGTGGTGGTGG